CCAAACCTAATACCGCATACAACGAAGTGGTGCGCACACGGATAGTGCCACAAGAGTGGCGCGACGCCATCGTCATCCCTTTGCTCAAAAAGGACCAACCCACCATGAAGCTGGCGTCCTATCCCTTGTTTCTTTTGCCTCCGAAGCGGGCAAGCTCTTCGAAGCCATGGCGTTGAGGAGACCCGATTGAATTACCGAGGCACGTGCTGTTTTCTTGCCTTCGCTGTGTGGCTTCCGCCGTTCGCGCGCCACTGCCGACCGCCTTGCCGACTTCATCACGACGCAATAGGAAGAATAGCACAACGGAGATGCCTGCTACTTCGTTTTTCTAGACATTAAGGTGGCATTTGACTCCCTGCCACACCCCACCATATTGAAGGCGGGGCGCGAGCTCGGAGTGATTGGTCTTCTCTTCGCGTACATTGCTGTCTTCCTCAGCGGCAGAACCATGCGCGTCGATGGAGTCCTCAGTGAGCCGCGTCCCTCGAGGGTCGGTGTTCCGCAGCGCAGTGTACTCAGCCCCTTCTTGTTCATCTTCACCCTGGCTGACATCGACGACCACATTCCCCGTGCCCTACCTAGTGAGGCGCGCCTCGCTCTCTATGTGGACAACATTGCGGTGATAGCGATGCGACCTGTGCCCAGTGGCAGGCGTGTCAGCATGAGTGTCTAAACCATTCTGGATTCCTTTTACATGTTCAACACGAGCAGGGGGATGAAAATTTCGCCGGCGAAGATGGAAGCGTTGCTGCTGCACCCCAGCTATTGCGCCCAGCGCTGCACACCGAGCATCATTCTCCAAACAACCCCCACCCCATGGAAGAGGCGAGTGACCTACCTCGGAGTTCAGCTGCGCAAACGCCTCCATTGTTCACCAGCGGTCACCGACCAGCTTTGAAACACGCGTAGGGTCGCCTCGGCCGCTCGAGCGCTCCTTGCTAGCGGCAGAGGATGCACGCCGACTCTAGCCCTCCGCATATACAATGGTATGTCTGCGGCGCGCATTTTGTACGGCCTTCCTCTCGCGGTGCTTACGCGTTCCAACTGGGAGACACTGAATGCTGCGCATGGTACTGCAATCCGCCAGTTTTACAGCTTGCCCCATTCTTCTCAAATCAGCCCAACAATTTCTGAGGTGGGAGACATGCCGCTGTCACTCCGTGCCCACCTTCGAGCGCTCAATCCGCTTGCGTCACGGAACGCAGCTGGTGTTGAAGCTTTCTTCGCTGCCGCACTTACGGATGGGACGATGCGCCGCGGCATTCAACGCCTTCGTCCTGAGCTGTGCCCCGCCCTGCTGGCATCACTCTCTGAACATTCGCACACGGATATCGGGAGCATGGCAAGTAAGCAGACGATGCCAGAGTGTGCACTTCGGCACAGAACAGCCGCTACGTTCAACGGACTTTTCGCGGGGTGATTCCTCGTCTTCACCGATGGTTCAGAGTTGAACGATGGTTGTGCTGCGGTTGTGTATATGCCTTCGCTGGAGCTTCACAATCAGTGCAACCTCGCCTGCGAGGCATCGTCGACTATAGCCGAACTCGCTGCACTTGACCTTGCCGCAGATGCTCTCCTTCAACTGGGAGTGCTGTCGGCTGCCGTTCTCTCGGACTCACGAGTTGATCTCCAAATGCTAGCGCAAGACTCCCGAAAACCTCCTGTTGCTTCGTGCATCGCGCGAAAGCTCAAAGTGGCGTAGAACCGCGGGTGTGATCTTGTGCTGCAATGGATTACAGCGCACGTTGGAATATCCGGCAACGAAGCGGCCGACAAGCTCGCCAAGGATGCGCACTCTCCTGGAACCCCTTTGAATACAGCGGTTAACCCATTCGACGTAGCGCGGCTTCGCACACGGCGGCGCGTCGTCACCATTAACCACCTGTACCATCACCACGCCCACTCCCAAGAACCGGATTTTCGAGAGCGGAGCGTGCCCTCCTCCTACGCTTGCGCATCGGCTGCTACCGCAAGGCGGAACGGGTACGCAGGCACTCGGGTTGAGAAGACCCAAACTGCCGTCATTGTCCGCAGCCCCAGAAAAAAATCCATCACAATATCTTTGAGTGTGAGGAGTATTTGGATGCGCGCAGATTGCTCTTTGGTGCTTACAGGAAACTGGGACTCACCACCACCACTGTTAATGCTATTCTCTTTCCCCGGGATTGCGGCTGCATTTCCGATGGAGGCGGAAATGTTGTAGGCCCGTGTACTCAGATTTGGGTGCACGTTAAGGAACCCCAGGTGGTCAAATTTCCGGAGCCCTCCACTACGGCGTCTCTCATAATCATATGGTGGTTTTGGGACGTTAAACCCCACAAATCAATCAATCTTTCCCCGGGCGAACGCATGCCTGGTCAAGCGCGCGCACGCTGTCCTCATGACTTTCTCCGAAACCTCTGCACCCTTTGAGCGCTTGTGACCTAAAGAAACTCAAGTGTCTCCCCACCGAGGTTCGACTGACTCCTATTTGTGAGTGCTACGAACCTCAATTTTTTCCTTGAAGGGGTTACGTGCTTCCGCGAGTGCTTCACGCGCTATATACAACGCGCGGTCCGTTTGTTTTTCTTCATGTGGCGACCACATTTCTCCGGCCTTTTTGGGGGCTTTCCTAGTCGGCTGCGCGTGGTGCGTGAAGGCTTATGAGTCCGTTGCGGGAAGCAGATCGAATGACCCTTCCTATATTTTCTCTGTTCTAAAATATTATCCTTCCTATATCTTTTATTACCATATCCCATTCCTATGTCGACCTGTTGAGGTGTCCTCCGTAAGGAGAGACAGTTACGGTTTGGTAGTTTTCTTCTGTTAAAACCACTCATATAAAGACACCGCATCGCTATTCGGCCAAGCGTTCGAAAGGAGGTGACGAAAAGGTGAGCGTTCCCACCGGGCGCAAGGCACCTTTGATCGAAGTCCATCGAGCCCCAAACACTAGAAGCCGACGGACTGGAATGACATTCGTACTTACTCTAAGTCGTCGTGGAGAGATCATCGGACTGATTCCCGACGAGCGCGCGCGAAAGGTTCTGACAGACTCCACGCTCGGCGCCACAGTCCACATCTGCTACCGTGTAAGAAGGGGTTAATCGTGACTCCCGCTCTCCCAGCGCGACAGACCGCGGAAAAGGGAGAGTCGAAAGGGTTTCTAGAAGGGCCAGTTGGTTAGGACATGAGAACGGCAGAAATAGGTGGCAAAGCCCGTGCAATGGCGGTGGGCTAGCCTCAATTGCCCCAGAAGTTCCTCAAAGCAGTAATATATTCTTAGTAAGGAAGCAGTCAGACACATGCAGAAGCGCATTGCCATCGCCTGGCTCGCTCGGCTGTTCGCTCCCTGGCTACGCTTCGCCTGCTGATGCTCCTATCTTCCCGGTCGCTGTGTACCTCAATAAACCCCGTAAAATTTGGCGGAGCTGCTGGGTAGTGAAAACCTGGAACTTCGCAGCCGGGAACTCAAGCCGTATTATGGCTCTCTGACCTCTCTCTGGGTCGCCAGGATGGCTACCTCTCGATACCGGGGGTTAATGTGATGAAGAAGATGGACACGTGTGGAAGCGCATTGCCATCGCCTGGCTCACTCGGCTGTTTGCTCCATGGTTACGCTTTGCCTGCAGCTGCTGCTATCTTTCCGGTCACTGTGTACCTCAATAAACCCCCGTAACATCTTCCTCTTATTTTACTTCGACACAAAAATTTTGGTTTGGCTGTTTTTCTGTCTGTCTGCCTGTACATTTGTCTGTTTGTCCGTTGTAACGATACCCAAAACGGCTCCGAACGATACCTCAAACGACCAACTCCATACGCAGCACCAACCATTATTGCTCAAGTTTAAGCGTTCATACTTGTGCGATTGTCAATTAAAAAGTAATTATTGCGCATATCTGAGGCACCGTAACAACACATCAATATGTGTGGTCTTTATACTAGGCCCGCCGTGGTGGTCTAGTGGCTAAGGTACTCGGCTGCTGACCCGCAGGTCGCGGGTTCGATTCCCGGCTGCGGCAGCTGCATTTCCGATGGAGGCGGAAATGTTGTACGCCCGTGTACTCAGATTTGGGTGCACGTTAAAGAACCCCAGGTGGTCAAAATTTCCGGAGCCCTCCACTACGGCGTCTCTCATAATCAAATGGTGGTTTTGGGACGTTAAACCCCACAAATCAATCAATCAATCAATCAATCAATCTTTATACTAGGAGAGGAATACATAAGAAATTCTAAGGGCCGTAGCGTTTATCTCGCTGCGCTGACAATGCGACGCTATGCTCTAATAGGCAAGTATTTGCAACGCTTTGCTAGTATGTCAGGGTGGTGGGCTCCTGCCCGTCGCTTTGCGTTCTACATCTTATCGCCTCCAAGACAGGCGCGCACGCCTTCCTTCGTTTTCGAAGATAACTGCCTGATAGCGCTTGTGTCTAGTGGGCCTCGATGCGCTCGTTCGCCTTCGCTGTACGAATCTAGACACTCTATCGCAGTGCCTCCAGAATACAATTCACAAATTTTATCGCGCAGAACATCAAATAAACGTTTTTTCTCTCCCTCAAGACGCAACACTATCGTCTTTCGACGACATTTGCAGTGAAACATGCAGATATGGGGCCAATGGTTTTTTCTCAGTTTTGTTTGTACACTCTCGGTGTTAGTGCGATTGTTTTACAACCAACACTGTACTTTGCCTCCTCTGACCGTTCTTCCATGGTCTACACGTCGGCAAGCGTGATGAACGTCAGCTTTCCTCTACAAAGTCTAGTAAATGTAGATGTTCGTGTTCTTATTATTAGGCTTTCAATAATCATATAAAAACAAGAAGACGCAGCTATTGGACAGGTGTATGCACAATTAGCTCCAGAACAAGGATGCGATGCCACCGATACAATCATACAATCATAGCACAACACCTGCTTTCTCAATAGCTTACTATACCCTGAGAAATCAATGCCTTCTTCACTACTGATAAGTTAGAGCCATAGCTATTCACTTAACGGGAGAATCGAAAAGTGCCTCACCGTTTTCTGTCCTTAGGACCACCATGAGGCATACGTAGAGGATTGTAGTGGGCACCAGTTGATGCGCAGCCTAAAGACAGAACTGGAGTTTACTAGGCTAAAAACACTTGGCGGAAAAAATCACACCACCCAATAAATGGGGAGCATGTTGTGAACACTTTATTGGACAATTGCAAAAAGATGGAACTATATGGCACACGAATCATAGAGGTTCTCCAGTACACTTTCATATGCAAAAGAAAAATCCGCCTCAAAGCTAACTTCATCAGTTTTGTGACAGCGTTATCATAAATATATGCGCTGCTAGGACTGCAGGCCAGCAGTGTCAATGCGATGAGCTTGATGTCAATAATTCTCTGTAGCACACTGCTTAATCGTTCAAGTCTACGGTACATTGATCCATAGTTCCAGATCAGACATATTTAAAGGGGTCGTGAAATGTTCTTCAAAAATTTTAAACTACGTGTGTCTGCCAGTCGATTCATTACTATACCTTGAATCGTTTGATCGTCCGTGCTCACCAAATACCTATAAAAGCGCATGTTCGGTTTGCCAGTTCACTTTACCGTCAATTGTGCAATTGACTTGTTACCACCAGCCCTTTGCTTTGCCTCCTCTGACCATTCCTCGACGCTCCACACGTCGAAAGCGTGATGAATGTCAGCTTTTCTCTACCAAGCATGGTTAATGTAGATGTTAGTGTTGTTATTATTATTCGTTTCTATAGCCATATAAACAAACAGGAAGACGTGGATATTGGACACGTGTATGCGGAATTTGCTTCAGAACAAGGGCGTGATGCCACCGACACAACCATAACACTTCAACGAATACTCTTTTATATTTGATTTTGGAATGAATATTTACAAAATAGGCACTAAGAGAGTCAATGAACTCTCTCTGTCGTCAAGAACATACGAAGACGCAGCGATGTTTTCGAGCCTTATTTCACCGTGGTTTGTAGCATCCTACTGTTAGGCGCCGTCGCCACCATCCGACCTTTCCGAACAACACCGTCATCTGCATAAGCGAAGTTGGCTTGTGGGTTTTGACCCGTACGCTGACACACCCGTGCGATGAGATCGGTCGTCGTCAAAGCAACGCAACGGCGGTGGCGACAGCGGTGAAGAAGCCTGTGCCTGCGAGCACTCGTATCGAGAGCGCGTGGCAGCACCTCAGCCTACGCAAGCCCCGACTATGAGCCTCCACCCTGTGTGCTCATACAATCACGGTTGATAGCTTGAAGCACTGTTCTGCGCTTTGGCTCACGGGTAGTTATTTGCATTGAGCGAACGTTATTTGCATTTTTATAAGTTGAGGGTGCGGCACTATCTGATGATGCACACGGTTGACATAGCGAGGACTAAGTGCTGGACACATGGTTCGATTCAGCATTCGATCCGGCGTGCCTGACCGCATGCAATGTACGACTACTCACCACAGAGTATTATATAAAATGCTAAGAGAGGACACTCCCATAGGCACCTGTGGCTCATTTGGGATCGCAGCGCTCAAAACGATAGTTGGTACCTTCGCAGCCTCAGAGAGAGAGACCACAGAAAAGGATGTCTCGAAGGCTATCGATAAGAAATATTACACAGCCTTCGAGACCAGCTCTGTGTGCGTACTATTCTCTGAGGCCATCCTTTTTCTAACGCGTCGTTTGCATGCATCGATCAGCTTTCTGTAAGCTTCACCACCATAGCGAAAAGCACATGATGCCACTATCTGTATATGCAGACATTTTGAACAACACATGACAATCCATCCAGCCGCCTGAACTTTTATTTCCAAGTAATATCGAGGGAAAGCACATACCCACATTGTTAAGAATTGATGAAAGCAGTCATAAATAGATGGGCTTATTGCACTGCAAGACGCGGCATTATAGCTGTCATATCATGGACATAAATTACACACAAGAAATAAACAAATAGGCAACATTAAAAGAAGACCAGTGGAACAGTAAAACAACAATAAATGCACAGAAGTACACATACGGTCCACAATGCTAGATGGCATTAGTTGCCGCAGTACTTGACTCCGGCATAAACTGCAAAAAGAAAAGAAACAAGTTGGCTACATTTCATTTCCCGCCTTCGCACCAATTTTTCGCACCCCACCACGGTGGTCTAGTGGCTAAAAATACTCGGCTGCTGACCCGCAGGTCGCAGGATCGAATCCCGGCTGCGGCGGCTGCATTTCCGATGGAAGCAGAAATGCTGTAGACCCATGTGCTCAGATTTGGGTGCACGTTAAAGAACCCCAGGTGGTCGAAACTTCTGGAGCTCTCCACTACGGCGTCTCTCATAATCGTATGGTGGCTTTGGGACGTTAAAACCCACATATCAATCAAATGAATCAATTTTCTGCTATGCACTTCACATCGCTTTCTCGCAAAAAACAGTCACAGCAGTTGCTGCAACAAAAACAAAGCAATTAGAGGTGTCATGCAAGGTATTAACGAGGCAGGAGTGTTTACTCCAAGATTAGTCTCTATAGCTTTAGCTAGCAAACATTTTTCTAGATGCACAACTTCTCTCTTGTTGTACTCATAAAGGCTTCAAGAAATTTGCAAACGCCACAGATAACGGTACTAAGCACAGCATCACTTTCCACAGAATATCACATATGCACTTTATTTAACTACAACTATCGGTACAAAAAATAAAACCAAACAACGCGAGCAGCGACTCATTTTCTTTAGCCAAAAAACGATTTTTCTTTCAAAGCCCCGCCGCGGTGGTCTAGTGGCTAAGGTACTCGGCTGCTGACCCGCAGGTCGCGGGTTCGATTCCCGGCTGCGGCGGCTGCATTTCCGATGGAGGCGGAAATGTTGTAGGCCCGTGTGCTCAGATTTGGGCGCACGTTAAAGAACCCCAGGTGGTCAAAATTTCCGGAGTCCTCCACTACGGCGTCTCTCGTAACCATATGGTGGTTTTGGGACGTTAAACCCCACATATCAATCAATCAATCAATCGATTTTTCTTTCAAAGGTGCTGCGCAGCCTTCCAAACGGCCTTTTTTTGTTTGAAGCAATTCACGAAAATAATACAGGAAGTGAAGAGCATGAAACATTTCTCTGCGTTGAACAGCACAATGCAAGAAATGTTAGTTTAAGGTTTGAATGACGGATGCAATACCCCCTTCACAAAGTAATGATGGCAGCCCACCACGGTGATCTAGTGGCTAAGGTACTCGGCTGCTGACCGGCAGGTCGTGGGATTCAATCCCTGCTACGGAAGCTGCATCTTCGATGGAGGCGAAAATGCTGTAGGCCTGTGTACTCAGATTTGGGTGCACGTGAAAGAACTCTCATACATATCGATATACGGACGCGTGTACGCTTTTTGGCTTTGTTGTTTGAACCTACTAAGTGCGGAGCATCTCTTTGCGTACTCCAAGCACTTTTGAAGTCTGTATGTGTCTATCTATTGGCCTATAAGTCTGGTTGCTCACGTGATTGCTCCGTTAACCTAAAGTAAACCAAATTTGTGTGGGAGGGTAAGACGGTTCGATGAATACGACTCACACGTCATGACACAAATAACGTCAGAATCCAGTGGCGTTAGTCTTAAATAATTTCTGCCAGAGAGTGACACATACCCGCGGGCAGGTATGTGCCCCTGGGATGCGGGTCAGTGCATTAAGGTATTGGCACTTCATATCTACCGAGGAGCAGCGAGAGCACACATGGGTAATTTTTATGCGTGAGACATAAAAAATCATTCTACCTTATGTGAGTATTAACTAGGTCTTCGAAGCTAGCTGAACTCTCTCATAATCATATGGTGCTTTTGGGACGTTAAACCCCACATATCGAATCGAAGCTGGCTGAAGGCAAGCGAGCCATATTAAACAGTCGTTTGCTGCGAACGAAGTGAATCTTTCAACAATTACGCCTGAACCACTTTGAAGCGGGCGCCCGAAAGCGCTGCCACGTTTACGTAAAAAATACGTAGACAATGCTAACATGGTGTACCATGTTATAACGTAAAAGTTAACGTGCAATCTGGAAAATAGCACGCGTAAGGTACGTGGTACGGGAAACATATGTATCTGCGCATGCGCACTTTGGTCCCGCTGTCATGTTAAGCCCGGTATCCGGCGAAGCATGATATACTATACCTTTCTAATATTCATGCATCGAAAAGGCGGCTGCTGCAACCATGATTCGATTCCGCGACATGTGGGTTAGCAGCCGAGTGCTTAAACCACTACTCCATGAAGGCGGGTGTTCTTCAAGGTGCACTGACATAGCTCCGTAGCCGGGCCTCTACCATTTGGCCTCCATTGAAATGCGACTGCCACAGCCGGGACCGAAGCTGCGTCCTCCGGGCCTGTAGCCGAACACCTAGCCATTGCTGCACCGCGGCGGGCTTTTCATTGCAATAGTAATTACGTTATGAGATTTCTTTCACAGTCGACAATAAACACTATAGCTGTAGACATTCAGGACTGCCGAGGAAACTATTCTCGAGGTTTCACAACGAGCAGCACGAATTTTCAGGAGGAGAAAAGCGCGAAACATGCAAAGAGCCGGGCTTTGGTTTGGAACTTTAGTGCATTATTTGTAGAGCGTCTGCTCACAATGCAAACCAGGGGGTTGCTTTGACACGGTTGCAAGAAATGACGCAACGGGCGTTCTAAATGCCTAAGGTTGCGGTAATCGGCACTGCGCCACCCGTCTTTTGCCGCGGCGCATGAGGATAGGAGCCAGAGGGAGGCAGCATGCCTCTGTGTACAACTACGTACATTCTGACTTGCCGTGCGTATTCGTTAGATTGATTGATTGATATGTGGGGTTTAACGTCCCAAAACCACTATATGATTATGAGAGACGCCGTAGTGGAGGGCTCCGGAAATTTAGACCGCCTGGGGTTCTTTAACGTGCACCCAAATCTGAGCACACGGGCCTACAACATGCGTATTCGTTAGTGATCGCGTGGTTGTAGCTAAAGGAGATCAACGAAGGCCTATAGTATCTTACGTGTTATGCTCTAATAGAAAAATATTGTTGCAGCTATAAGCAGCATGACGGTCACCAAGCTCACTGCTGCGGCATCGTTTCCTATAAGAGTGGGCTCCTAGTAGTTCTTGTATAGAACATTCCAGCCTTTTGCAACAACATTTATTGGCTTACGTTTGCGGTAATACTTTTACTTTTCTGTGTTGTTTTCTGGCTTGATTGATTGATTGTCATTGCTTATTGGTGTGTACTTTGTATATACCACTGTTGCAAATGGCAACAAAAATTTATTATTGTTTTGTAATCATTCTAGCTCACAAAAACATTCAGAGAGTCAAGGCATTAACAACATAATGTAATATATATCTGTGTCTTACGTTCCCACACCGCAACGTGACTATGAGACACGCCGTAGCGTATAGGTTGCGGAAAGTTTGACCATCTGGTGTCCCATAAATAAACTGTCATCACACAGTGGACAGAATCTAAGCATCCTGCCTTTATCTAAATGCGACCGCTTTGTAGGGGTCGTACCACCGAGTTTCAGGTTAGCATCTGAGGCAAAAATGAAAACCAGCATTTCATAAGATATTCTCATATTATGACTGGAAAACAGCGCTAAAAACCATATATATGTGACGTCATTATAGCGTCACATATATATTCTCATGATTAACATACTTTCACAAAAAAACCAAGAGCGGCGTTGTCACACTTGAAACATCCCGGTTATCATCAATAAAAGTAGTTGTGCTGTTTTGTAAGCGCAATGCTCAAGATAAAATGTCACTGTGTGAACATTTTGCTTACCTTTCGACAAATCGCCATATTCGTGCACGTGAAAGCCATGTTTTCCATGTGGTAGATTGGTTATATTGCCATGAAGCTTCACAAAGCTGAATGGTTTCTATGGAGGCAGAAGGCAGGTATTTGCGTTGAAGGAGAAGTTCGCTCTGCTATCAGAATTTATCTTCCCACTGAAATCCCCACCATCCCACTTCTCTCGCTTCATGCAGAGAAGTCACAAGCTACCTGTCCAATTTTGCCTATATGGTCTTTGATAAAACACAACAAAGGGGCAATTTAAGGCATTTTCTAGTTTGTTTTACACAACGCAATGAAAACCAACAGGCAGTGAAGGTAAGAAAAGTATAGGAGGCGTTATTTGTATAGTAACTATCATATTAAAGTAAAGACACTAACATGGAGAAAAACACATCTTGGCGCTGGCAGGAACCAAACCTGCAACTTTTCAATAACACGTCCGTTGTTTTAGCACTGGAGCTATGGCGTCCGTTCTCCTCTTGTCCATATTATTGGGTTCATCTGAACATGCAAACTCGTGAGAGATACTCTACTTCACGAAGTCATGAGAACAAAGCGAACCAGGTATACTTGTTTTTTTTTGCCTGGTCGTGTGACGTAGCTAATGATCTATTTGGGAGCCCACAGTGGTTCAATAATACCGAAAATACTACCTCAGGGCATCAAGTTGACAGACCAAATACAACTTTAAGAAAGCAGTCACATACTTGAGAAACTGCATTAATAGGTAGCAGCATATTAGGCAACGCCGTGTTCATTCTCTCATCTATTTAACAATCTTAACGTTGCCTATATATACGTTTAGTATTTCAATGGCATGCTAACTGACCTGGTGAAATTTGACGTAACCACTGGCATTGCCAACTTGAAACACGCAGATTGCGTCCGAGACGTATGCCCTTCTTCTGCGGGCTGCACTCAAAACTGTAGCAAGAAGTATAGGCAACAGCACGGGCGGCCTGTGCATAACAACTGCAGGAAAAAGAACCAGGTTGCAGTAGCGTTCACTGCGTGAATTTCATTTAATGCTAAACAAAGAAAGGTTAGTCCATTTTTATTTGCAAGGTAGCGTCTACAGTTCCTTCACACTAACCACCAAAGCACACATGTACACAAACGCACTTATTGGCCCAGATGATTATAAAGCCCGAAAATACCCATGAGAAAAACAACTGCGGATGTCGACGCCTTCAAGGTATCTTTACACTTGAGGTAACTTCACTGTTCATAAAGGCGCATGATTTGTCCTATTGTCTTGTAAGAAAGGAATGAACTAAATTGTTTGCAGGGATTGAAACACCAAGGAAACAAGTCAAGATTCGTGTATATTTTTTTTGAACCAGCATGGCTCAAGTGCAACAACATGTTTTATTCTTCATCACGTCCACTGACGCAGTTGAGACAGAATTTCATTTTGAAATCCTTGAAGAAATGCCTTAAACTTCATTTTATTTTGAAAGAATCGGCAATGTGACGGAAAGTAGTAACATTTTCAAACAACGCCTCATTAGACTAAGCACACACACACACACACACACACACACACACACACACACACACACACACACACACACACACACACACACACACACACACAGACAGACAGACAGACAGACAGAGAGAGAGAGAGAGAGAGAGAGAAAGGGCGTTCTAGCTGCAATCGTTAAGGAAGGCCAGTCGATCGCGAAAAGCGCAGCAGCGCTTGCAAGGCACCTTCTTCTGCGACGTTGGACCCAGACAATGGCGAAAAACTTTTGTAATATCAAAGAAACTGTCGGACATATGTTTTGTGACTGGCTACACTGGAGTGCACAGCGACTATGTCTGGGCAAGGCGTCAACAAAGCCGTAACACAACTTCATGTAAATTGGAAGGACTTGAACATTGAACATTAAGCAAAGAAAAGTGCGCAGTTCGTCGGCGGCACGAAACTCGGTGAGTACGCCTTCAAGAGCCTCAAATAAAGAAATAAATAAGCAATAAACAATTGAAGAAAATGCTTGTGCATATGGAAATAAAATACGTCGTGGAGTAATTCCGTATTTTATCACGTGATTCCGAAGGAACTGTGCTAAACGCAGCGCCAAACTTAAAAGGCCCCTCACAACCCCGCGTTCAAAGACAAGGCAGTACTATCCTCCTCGGCTTCCCTACCCTTCGCACAGCCGATGTGTCCTTCTCGTCACTTCGTAAAAGCACGTGTGCAGTGTCAGCACCAAGTGTAAAGCCTATCAAGATTTCACGCTTGCTTGCTACACACTTATTCCCGCTTGCTTACTCTGAAACAAGACACCCTTCTGTAATGTAAACTTTAGACGTCACAGAAATTGCAGGTAATGCGTGATGAAGTGCTCCAGAAAAGCGAGAATTGACAGGAGAAAATAACGCACTCATTTTCCTTTTGAGGCTGGAGAGCGGCACTTAAATGGTTTGCTAATGACGTTCACACGCTTGCAATGGCAGTCGATGCACCCGATGCTATAAGTGTGCGTGGGTGACCTATGATTGACCTTTGGAAGCTTGCTGGTATAGCAGCACAACACAAAACATGAGCCTTATATACTTGTGTGTCTTGTTCTCGTGGTCCTGTTCACCTAGCTTTATCTTCGTCGACCTATGACGTTCCTCTATCAAGGAAGTGATGCCCCATCTGCGCCGACCCATGTTTCGTCTACGGTAAGCGTTAGTGTTTCCAGAATATTAGGAGGGTGTTTCCTGACAAGCGAAGTATTGAAGAACACTTCCTATGTGAAGGCCACAACACTCGCCGGCGGCTGCATTTCCGATAGAGGCGAAAATGTTGTAGGCCCCTGTACTCAGATTTGGGCGCACGTTAAAATACTCCAGGTGGTCGAAATTTTCGGAGCCCTTCACTACGGAGTCTCTCATAATCATATGGTAGTTTTGGGACGTTAAACTCAACATATCAATCAATAAACACTCGCCTGACTTCACGGTTTGAAATCATGCTTCTACTTCCTTTCAGAATTGACAATAATGTGTACCATGTATTGCTATGGTCAAAGTGAACGCATGCTCTGTGTACTGCCCCTCTCCATCGTGCACATTGAAGAAAATTGGGAAATGGGAAGGCATTGCAAAATTTGTTCGCAGGGGACTGACACGTTCGCACAGACATTATTATACACCACTGCTCACGAAATAGGAATCGAGTTGCTCAGCAAAACGTGTTATTGGGCTGTTAGTTCATGAATTATTAAAGCAAAAACATTTTGTAGTGCAAAGCGAAACACGCGGACAGACGAAGAGCACTTGGATAGCGCTAACTTCCAACGGTGTTGGTTGAATAAAATTACGTACGCATGTATACACCGCAAAAGAGCCGCAAGGGACATAACCCTGGCGAAAATCAAATGGTAAACTAAGAGTTAGCAAAAAATTCTTTCTAGAAACATTGCATATTAAAAACGCTACATGAGTTTGATAGCTGCTCGCATTCATGTCAAATAGATTGCAAATTTGATACTGCTACAGGAAGGAAAAAGTAACTAAGAAAAAGTAAAAGAATACTTTTTACTACTTAAGGTGATAACAATAGCTTTAGTTGAAGAGGAACTGGAACACAATTCTTTAAGCTTTTTTGTATCCAAACGGTGTGTCACTATAGATCACAGGTGCAGTACTCTAAGCATAGGCAAACAGAAAAAAAGCAGAAACGCATTTCTTTCTTTATTTTTCTCAAAAGGGAGCGGCTGTGCCTTTGACGTTAGAGGTGTAACAGGAAAGCAGCAACAATACCTAAAGTTCAAATGAATGCATCTCATTGCCATTATTGTCACGAAAGCCATAGCTGAAAGCACAGAGTGGCTGCTTACCAATGGCTAGGTATGCGGTGGGTGCCTGTAAAGATGAACAGTTGCTACCGCTGCTATCTCTTGTGTACGTTGCCGCCATCGCTTCATTTTTAAAAGCGAGGTTGAAGGAACAGAACAATATATGGTGAGAGAGATACTAACGCTTGGTTGATTCTAATAGGGAGTAAATGTGGCTGACATTTAAAGAAACTTTTTTAATTTTTTTATTTCCATGGTAGTGGTCAATCACTGCTATAGTAGTGGTGTCGGACGGCTGCACATCGTCGTTGTGATTTGATGACAGCTTGAATTCGCTGTAAAACGCCAGGCTTGCGTGAAAAGTGCAGCACTGTCACAGTGAAAGCTCAAAGAGTGGAATTTCTAGAAGCACTTGGAAACTTTCTTGGGGCTACTAATGCAAGTGAGCTTGTATGGTACCCTTTCCACCATAAATCGTATTTTCGTCCTGTTGCAAAGTACCCACGACGCAACCATATTTTATTTTTCGGAGAAGAAGGTACCCGCTATGTAGTTGCAAAGCACTATGGGTTCATTCCTGATGTGGTAGCTTCTGACGATGAAGAATTTTAGCAGAGTGCTTTGCAATGAGTTCAAAGCATTCAACAACCAACTCGTCGCGCAATGCCTGTTGTTTGACATCGCGCCTGCTTATAAAGTCTTACTTCAATGGATTTCAGAGCAGTGGCATGGCTCTGTTACGATTCTGGAATGCGACGGAGAGGACCAACGTTTGATTTTTGGTCCATCCTGGATAATTTTTATTTCGTTTTTTTATAAGTGATACCGGTTACAGATACGAGTGGCGGGGGTGAACAACCATGACGCCAGAAAAGGTGGATGGAGGGTAGCCACAGTAAACATAGCCTTTATGCCAGATGGACAGTCCTATGATGGAGTTATCTATGCCGTCTTCCCTTTTACTTTAACAATTATTCCCTTGGTGCATTCATTTGGTGGGCAACGCAACACATTGAATAACGCTATATTTTAGCACTCATGCAATACCACTTGGGCGATGACATTTGTGGAGTGGGATGCTTGTGCCAGTTTGCAACGAAACAGCGATCACTCTCTGCCTGTAATCCTAAAAATTTTGTACACGTGTCATTTTCCAGTTCAAGTAGCCTGAAAAAGCTACACCTATGTAGTCTAATATACTTGCTCGGCGCAGTGGTTTAAAATTTGTCTTACAACTACAGTAAACCACATGCTTAGCGGTATTTCTAATTCACTGTGTCATATATTTCACTACCTGATTTCATTTTTCATTGGGCAAACCATTCTTGGCGACAATTATTCTCTTGGTTATATTGTACCTGATCTATGTGGATCATTCATTCCACGATATTATAAGTGTGTGCTAGCTGACAATTAAATGGTATTGTTATTTATGGGGTGACCAAAACTATGTATGGTAAATGAAAGAAAATATTGTTCGCAAAGCAATACACTCCAGTGGAACGCCTCCAGTTTAGTGCAACAGGATTGGTTCTTCTGTAGCACACTTCTATGTAGTCTGCTTAATCTTTAATGTCGAATTCAACGGAGAAAACAGGATCGGAGGTGTTGTTCAGAAACGAGTGGAGGGCAGGGCAAAGTAAGCAGCGCCGCTAGATAGGTGGTCTGAATGCGACACGCATTCAGACAGCTGGTGGGAGGCTGATGAGTGAGAAAAAAAAAATCGAAGCTCCGGCATGCATTTTGAGATAGAAGCAAAACACGAGTGAAATCAGTCAGCCGCATGTTCGACATTCTCCCCATTTCCAATTACGTACGTTTGCCCCGCGACGCATCCAGCAAACGTAGCTGCGCACACTTGCATCGCACGCTGCCGTGCAATTCAGCTGTGAAGGTATGCTCGAGAGGATGTCGCTGCTGGTGTGACCGAGGCTTTTAAACAAACTAGAAAGACGAAGCCGTCTTGCTGCTACCGTTCCCTGCATACTCAATGAAAAGCGAGGTAGTACAGGGGTCGAGATTAGACGCAAAATTGCCATGAGACTCCCTTGTATTAACAGCGTCAACTGGGCCAACATCAGTGATGTCAAAATACACTTAGCTGCGACCATTGCCACCACTATCTTTAGGGGAAGCAAAATAAAAAAAAAAACGAGTGGGAAAGCAATTCTTTAACTGTCGATTTTGGCCAAGGCTGGCCGGATGGAGCTTGATAAGCTGTGTACCCTCTCTTTTCGTTGTTAGACGTTATATAACGTTCCAATTTTCACATCACGGAGTTTTCACTACTCTGGACAAAACCGAGATGAACATATTGCGCGTCAATGTGCCCTCATGAGATTCTTTCTTGGCTGCGCCAATTTCGAAAGCCGTTCAATAACTCTAATCATGTGATCGCGTTAGCTATTGAATAAGGTTTAATGCAGCCTATTATTTAACGCACTTGTGAAGTTCGGTACACCTTCCCTGTACGGTTGGCAAAGCATTTTGCAGAAGCTCATAGTCAAGGACAGATGAGCCAAGTTTGTTTAAGTTTACACTTTCTTTACACCGTGGAAGTTTGCGGTGCTGAGGCGGTGCATCGACACTGTAAAGTCTCTTCACAGTGAAGGCGGCGAGGCATAGTGGGCCAATTAGCTTTTCGAAGCGGCCAACGCGTGCACCTGTCAATAACACCAGCTTCCTTTGGATTCCCTTGGGGCAGAAGAGACGGACAGCTCGCGCTTTTGTGTGCATGTCGCTATGGCGTGACAACGGTTCTCCAAAAGGTACGCCCGCACGGTCACCGCGCCTCTACTGGTTGGCCTTCTGATTAGCTGCGGCGAAGCGTTGAGCCTTGGATAGCGATCGTCCTAGCCGCCTCGTTTTCCGCCCGCGTTCGCGCTTGAATAGGAGGTTTTTTCCACTTTTTCCTATTATCGCCTCGCCGCTTTGGCCGCCCCGCCTTCGGTGTAAAAGAGATTTTAGGAACACGATGACGTCCCGGTCTTCGGCTTTCGTAACTTAATGGGCCCCGCCGAAACGAACAGTCCGAGAACAGCTCCCCTGCTTGACCACTGAAAAAAGCAACCTTTCAGGATAGCACTTTAAGCGTGCTCCCAAGTGCTCCTGTTGAATCAGTGCAATTTGCCGTTCGTGGTATGATCGAATGCGCAATACACTTTCAAGAACAGCTTACACGGTAAGAGTGTATGAAAGGCTGTGGCATGTATTGAAATATATATTCAAGTAGTTTTTAATTAATAACGAAGGTTGAAAAATTCTTCATTCGTAGCAGATGTGTCATAGCAGGAGCCAGTTGATTAGAAAAACATAGCGAAAGATTGTGGTTGTGGTATTCTTCCCTAACCGGGAAAACATATGTTTGTCTCATGCAGTTTTTTTTCTCGAGTGCCTTCAAGGTAGTTCCTAGTTTTCGCCTAAGGGAAATCATTCGCGTAAGCCAGAGTTATGTTGATTGTTCCTCCTCGAACATTGTACTAACCTAGTGTCGTAGGTGGCCTCAGAGCCAAAGCGCTGTTGTTCATTGCTTTCCCAATCTGCGGTCCACTGCAATTCTCCAAGATGAGTCCGGTAGAAGGTGGATGTCCGGATTGCTGCAGAGAGACCACCTTTCGCGTTTCAAGTAGTTATACCCGGCATTGTCATAACATGCACAGAAAACCGCATGTGCCATTGTTTCATGTCACGTGTTGAGATGCTGCACTCTGAGTTTCTGTGTAATCGTGTTTCCCAAGAAAGTAATGTTACATACGCCATAAAATTCATGATTGCATCCATTCATATCCCATCCAATAAATGCTTGTCGTCTCAAATTACGTTAGCAATGTATCCATACACTACTTTTTTGTCTTCGGAAAATCGGTTGGCAATCAAAGAAAGCTGGAAACTGCACCTCAAAAAGACACCGCTCCCAGAGGTAACAGCAAGTGTGCCATGGTACACTACTAAATAATTTGTGTTCTAGAATAAAGTGAATGACATGGAATAGGTCACACTATAAAAAACGAACAAGAAAGCAGAAAGAAAAACACTGACGTTTTTTAAAACAATCATTAAAAGATACCAAAAGAGAATGCACTACTTAAGGAAAATTTCGGCAAGCGTAAAACGATCAATACAATGCAAGGAAATAGTCAGAAATAAGGTACGTGCAGTCTGTTTCACCCTCACGGGAACTCTCAGAGCACGTACCATCGCGATGCGGCCAGTGCTGCAGTCGTGCGCCGGCAGCAGCTCGTGTGTAGTGTTGGCCACCGCGCTACGCGCTGGCCGCATTGTCGGACAGCAGGTAGATTTCATCGTTACTTTTTGGTTACTGCGAGAACTGGGCCAACCTCACTCATAGCTCATCGAGTAACTGGGAGTCTCACTGCCGTCCAAAATAGGTGCAGTCATCGTTGCCACATGAGACAACGCGAGGTATGAGGTGAACTTGAAGGCTCAACGCCCGCATTTCAGTGCCGACGAGCAGATGCTGCTTGGTGCAATGAAATGTTGAGAAGAATCGCGTTCAGGTCGTTATCTGAACCTGCAGCGTTTTTAAATTCGTTCCCATATGTTTTATTGTGTTGAACCCACATAGGTTTAGAGCATTTGCCGTACTTCCTTCATTTTTATTATTTTTAGCGTGAAATGAATACCACGTCTGGTGATTGCCCAAGGCTGTCTTCCGTGTCGTAGCGTATTGCCGGGGACATGCAAAAATAAAATATACGTGAACGCACTCAGTACCATGGTGTTTCACAAGAGCGAAGAAAGTTTGCTGTAAAATTATTTTTCAAGAACTCTATTAATGCCAATGATGGCCAATAGATTGGCGTCACAGAACGTTTAGTAAGAAATATCAGCCTAGTTCCCGCAGTAACGATGAAATAAGCAGGCTTCACGACCATATGGAGGGTGCCCACCGCCATAGCAGGCGATGTGGTCCAACACCACGCTCGTTTGGTGTCTGCGTATGCGCGACCTGCTGCCGATACGTCACTTCAGTGGTGGCCGCATCGCGATGCCATGTGTTTCGACATTTCCCCTAAGTGTGAAACGAACTGTAAATCTTCTAAGCTTAAACTTAATCCTAAAGTAGGTAAAAAGATCTTGATATTGTAATAACGCAAGAAAATAGGTAAAATGTGCAATTGCATAAAAGAAAAATAGTACGAAGAGTCGACTTTTCACCAACATACCAAACATACTTTTATTACAGTCCTCAAGAGTAGGTTAGCAATCGGAAGGGCTTCGAGCGAAGAGAGAGAAGAAACATTTCTCCAATTAGGGTCCACTTTCTATGGTTATGGTCCTCAGATGATCTGACTAAAGTGATTGATTCCGCTCTTCGTAGCATTTCTCTTGTTACAGTACATGGTATTTTGTCATGTCCATATATTATCAATCATAAAGACGCCTCCACAAGCTTTCGAACGATTAATGACCAATTGTGAAATTCGTTCCCGGATTTGCTGGACTTGCATGAAAGACAACACAGTGTCGCCACTTGTACAGTTACACTCACTCCAGAATATTGTTGATCACGGAACCTTCGCTTTTGTTTCATAGCGTCGGTGCATAAAACCCACAGTATTTGCACCAAAGTACCAGTGAAGCAGAAGTGAAGTATTTGAAGGTATACTCTTTCACGTTTTGTATAATGGGCACCGATACCTCGTTGCTCCAGCAAAGTAGCGTTGTTAGAAAAATTGTCATGAGATATTTACTATACATGTTTGCCCTACACATGAGACTTCCACACCAAGAAAACACGAAATACGGTTTCAAGTGACGCCGTTGCGGACGGGTCACGTCGTTCATCTCTCTTGTTACCTGTGTTTTGCGCTTTCTCGATTTCAAATACTGCCTCGTTCTCATTCGAAAGTGTTATCTTTTCTGGTACAAACATGAATTGTCCACTGCCTATGTCGATGACTTATTTCATATCTATAGAACTATGAAGTTTGTAGACATAACGTACTTGGCTCGACACGAAACGAGCTCATCGCAAAAAATTTCTTCCCGGCTACAATATGCGACCCTGAAATGAATATTTGAAAAGTATAACTTACGAAAGCTGGCCAAGAAGTGTTGATGGTGGGCAGTCGGGCTGCTAGTAGTGGTATGCCTTTCGTCGTCTGCGAAGAAACTTGAACAAAGCGTGCCCTGTGTGTCACTCCAGCTGCGATCCTCTACGTGGCTGCGCGGCGTAGACAAAGAACAAAGAAAAGTTGCATGTATTGTGGACACAATGACGTGTCTGTGGTCGTGGATATCACGTGTTTGTCGTACGAACTACAATAGAACCAAGCCTTTAGTTCAGGAAATTCAAGACGAATGTTTGTACACGTATTTGCGCAAACGGTGGGCTCTGTATTCGCGCGTGCACCTTGAAATTCATCCGTGACTCCTCTCGCTAACTTCAGTGGTGAACAGAAAAAATACGACAAAATATTTCAGGCAGAGTGTCTTTTCGGTGATGCGTAAGCGTGGTGTTCTGTTGTAAGCTGTACCCTTCCCAAAAATGTTGTTTTTGGGTGGCATTGACGTGGCCTCTTTCATATTTTTGCAGCTCTCTACTGCGTCTCAAACGGACCTCTGGCAGGCACGTCCCGCAAGCACACAAAATTGTCGTTCGAATGAAATTTTAGCAAAGTTGGAACGTAAATAATGTGTACAATCATCTATGTCGGCTTTGACCTACACTTTGTCCAACAAAAGAATTTCGTTCCAATACCACAAGATGAAACGGACAGACAGCAAAGCCATGGAAAGCATAGGGGACAATGTTTCAGTTTCCGTCACTGTATTGTGGTGATTGTCGCTTAAAGTGAAAGACATTGAACTTGACGCAAAAGTGCCTTCTGCGTCTGTGGAATTCGAACCCGCCCCTCGGAATTACACTCAATGGTACAGCATCGGATACGTAATTCGTGGCGACATCAAATAATGGGGCCTGGGATGAAACCCGGACACACAAAGAAAAGTAAGTTGGTTAATTCACTTACTTCTTTGTGGTGCCAATCATCTGGCGCGGTCGAGATACAAAACAAATAATTTTCTTGTTGAGTCGGCAGGAAAGTTTCTGTGCATTTAAAAAAAAAACGCCAGGCCTACGCGGAAAGCTCTGCACGGTCACAGCGAAAACTAGAAGAGTGGCCTTTCAGAGCCTTTTCAAAACACTCATTGGATAACTACTGCAAGCACACTTTCTTGAAACCCACTAGGGAATTAATAATAAACTATTAGGCAGTAGGCCGGCATTCCCTAAGCTATTTTTCGCCATCCTTCTGAGAAGCGTGGTATCCGCTAAACACATGCAAGAAATTTCCTGCTAATTGTTCATGCGGCGGCTGACCACGATGGGGAATTATAGTGGAAGTGGGTATGCGCCACAGTTAATGAGGGAACAAGAACAAGCTTTTGTAATGGGATGGAGCATTGGACAGCCCACTCGTTACGCTATTCGCATTGTGCGACGACTGGTTGTTCTTTCGTTGTTTTAAAAGGCTTTATAAATCGTATTAACGCTAATGCTTTCCCGACATCAAGCCTGCCTAAGGCAAGTTTCCACAAGCACTAGCGCAGCTCAGGGGAAGAATACTGGGCTGGCACTCAGAGAACCGGGGTTCAAGCCCCACTGTGTCTTTGGTGTTAGATTCTTGTTTTGAATTTCGCGCGATGTGGTTACGGACACTGGCCGTGCGGCGGAGGCAGACAACCGCACGTAACCCGAGTTGTGATCTCATAACAGCTTTCGCTGTAAAAAAGACTAGTTATCAGTGGCATTTTTTCTCCTAGAGACGAGTTCAGGTCTTTCTCATAGAAGGGTGCAAGCGCTATTGCAATCTAAGAAATGTTACTCCTCTTGTTTCATCTTGTGTCGACAAACTTAGGTTAGCATCCTCCAAAGGCAAATCTGACACTAATGCGTGACTTTATTGCTATATAAAATGTTATGCTTTACGCTCGCGGTACTGTCTTTAGTCATTCATGCGTCCTTGCTTTTCCAGCCTTCATTTTTTAGGGGCGAAGCTCCTTAAGGTGTGGTCTGTCCTTCCTTAGTTGGTGTATGTAGCCACCTTGCAAACATCACACTACAACCCAACACCTATCTACGACTTCAGCGACCATAAACCCAGTACTTTTGAGCAGTAGCCAATATGGAATGAAAGATGGTCGTGTATTTGTATATAGGTGCGCGTTAAAGAACCATAGATTTTCCCACAGTGTCCGTCTCTTGTTTCTGCGAGGCCGCCTGTACTTTCACCTTTTGCGAACTGCCCACTACTTCGTCCTCGCAAACATCCCACTATGCCCTATCACGGATCTATTACTTCACCCACCATAAAGCCATTATAATGAAGAGGGAGCCAATCATAAGATTTTTTGTATAGATACATACAGTGTTTGTCACGTCTTTGATGATTTAGTGAGCGATATTCGTGGATGGTTCACAGTTTAGCGATGAAACCATCCAGCGCTTCGTCCCACTCGTCATCATTCTCTCTATTGACATGCTGTGATTTTTTGTTTATTTACCCATGTTCAAAATTTTTGTAGCATGCAGCAAAGAAGGATAAATACAGAAAGAAGGAATAAATGAGGGCTATAGCACTCGCTTTTACATTGTTTGTGAGTGCCACGGTGTTTTGTAAGTGCAGCAAAGTACGCTTTAACAGGAATTTGTACAAACTCACCCAACTATCAGTTACACGGCAATCAGTCTATCTATTTCCGTACATATCGTAAAATATTGCTCATGAGTCTATTTAATGATACGAGCTTCACTTAGCTGCAGCTTCAATATGGTATAATGATGTGATACAAAAAGCCTCTCTAATGAGATAAAGTAATCTCGCGAACAGACAAATTAAGTGCATCGGTTATGAACCTCGCAAGTCGAATATATCTCAAAACAGTACAGTAGCCTTTAGATAGCACTTCGTGTGAATGCGTAATACCTTCCAACGTTTTCCACTCATACCTGTCGGTCTACCATTCCTACGGCTTGAGCAATAGCAGCTGCTGATCTGTCCCATGGAAAGCCAGCTGGAAACCGAGGTCAGGCCAAGCGAGCCACTGTGGCCAGAGGGGTAATGCTTGTGATAGTCTATACGTGCTGCTTAGTTTTATTGAAGCTTATATTCCCTCACCCTATGTCACTTACTACAATGCCAGTCAACTCTTCATAGGCAGCCTTTGTGCTTTGCAGTGTGGTAGATGTTCCTCCAAAACAGTAACAAAAGCTTGTTCCTCGTTCTTGCCCAACTTCGGAACGAGTTCTCGTTACAAGTTCCTTTGATGTGAATAAAATTCGATGCATTTTTATTTCAAAATTTTTTGGTGTGGTTACGTTGATGCTACATTACATTTTTATTCAAAACATAGTGACGGATAACCCTCAGACGTAATAAAGTGAGCGTTTTAAGGCTGCCGATTTTCGTGACCTATATTGAATTCTTAATTACCGCGTGAAATTATCTTCAACAACATGAATATATACGGCACTACCTATGGTCGTTTTTCCAACAGCGATGTTAGTAGCGGTTAACATTTTGCTGCCAACACTACTGATCACTTAGTATACATATAAATGGCATGTCTGACTTGAATGTATTAACGCCTAAAGAACACACACTTCGAGGCATGTATCGCTTTTGTCAGTTTTCCAAATTTAAGTGAACTTTTGAAGGCGTATTTTATGAATGTGAGAAGAGGTGTATGCATTGACTGATATGTAGGCCCCGCCACAGTGGTCTAGTGGCTAAGGTACTCGGCGGCTGACCCGCAGGTCGCGGTAGCGAATCCCGGCTGCGGTGGCTGCATTTCTGATGGAGGCGGAAATGTTATAGGCACGTGTACTCAGATTTAGGTGCATGTTATAGAACCCCTGGTGGTTGGAATTTCTGGAGCTCTCCACTACAGCGTCTCTCATAATCACTTGGTTGTTTGGTACCTTAAACCCCACATATCAATTATTTATTTGTGCGGTTTAACGTCCCAAAACAGAAGTGCAAGGGTCTTTTAATTAGCTAAGATGTAGTGAGCTCTTGAAAAGCGCGTCCATCACGGCTGGATCTCGACCGAAGAAGACGCACGTGATCTTCTTTTCTTTTTCAGGGTGAGAGCCACTCGTGGTCTCAATCCATTACATGCAGGTGGCATTATCCCTCCTTCTGAAAAATAAAAAAAGACAAAAATAGAGGAAAAAGTAGACATAGCATTGCCCCGATGATATAACATAGCCGCGCGAAGAAGAAAAAGAAAATAGAAAAACCAGATAAACGGAATGTAGAAACTGAAGATCGTGACAATAAGAATATTTGGCAGATCCCACGTACCTGGGAATGAACTTTATGCGAAGCACATGGAGGGAAGGTGACCATGTTGCATTTTCTTTTTGAGCGACACGTCATGAAATGACGCTAAGTATATGTACAAATGTTGCTCGTAGAGACATGTTGCAGAATCGCAGATGTTTTTATAAGCAGTTTTCCACTTTCAGTACGATGTCAGCTGAATATGTGTTTTAGCAACACCAGAAGCTTACAAGAAACACTGATGCTCGCAAAGATGATGGCCCTTGACACTACCGTATACCTAAATCAATCTCAGCACATGGCACTTCACCGCAATTGACGTTAACCCGGCGTGACGGCTGTATGAAAGGATTACATATGTAATGTTTGTAAAATTGGGTAGGCAGCACTGCAACCACTATTGATGTTTCTCGAAGATTAGCGTCTATTTGAAAAGTAGTTCCGAGACCTCGCGTAGCTCTGTGATATAATGCTTGACTGCCACGCAGAACGCTTTGGTTTGATTCCTGCTGGGATTTCGAAATTAATCGTTTGCATTCGTCGGGTGGCCAACGCTGCCTATGACAGGTTTTTCTTAACACTGACATTTATTCTATGCCTTCATTGGGTCGACGCTACCGATGTCGAGTATTGCTTAACGCTCACGCGTCAAGCCTAACGCTCACGCGTTCTCGTCGTTCCTATGTAAATGCCCAGTGTCAATCACATATGGCACATACCCGCATTTTAGTGTCACATACCCGCCCGTGAGTATGTGCCACTGTCTGACGGGAAGTGTTTGACGACGTACGCGACGGAATTGTGACATTATTCATGTCTTGACAAGCGCGTTATGTTCGTCAAACCATCTTACCCTCCCATTGTAACTTTGG